GATTGCCGATGAGTATCTGCAGTGTGTCAGATATATTGTTTCATAAAAGTATTATATGAGCGTGGTCTTACGAAGCGACCAAAAAGAGCCAGCGCTTGCCGCTGATGGCGCTGTACCAACGGACGTGTCTACCGGGTTGATATCGCTGGATTCGTTGCGCTTCCGATATCTTCCACGTCTGGTTTATGCTGCGATTAGTCATCAAGCAGAACCCTTTGGTCGTAGTGTCTGGTATTCGGATGAATGTGTCGATAGCGTCGCCCACTGTGACGATGGTTTCGTAATTCATCCACTTAAGCACCACAAACATGAGCGCCAAGTGCAACACATTGCACGCAATGACAATGTAAATAATGCTCTGACTGAGCTGTACTTGGCACCGCTCAGGTGAGATCTCACTCAAGCAATCTGTGGGACATGACTGAGATCAATAAGGTGACACACAGGCTCGGATACCTAGGTAAACTTACACGAGACCTCGCTAAGAAAGCTTTTATCAAACGTGAGTATTCCAGGGCTCACATAGAACTCTACGAGCGAGCCGGTGTCGTTGGAATCGCTTGATGAGTCTTTCGGTATAATGGCGAAGCAATTGCCGACCTTTAACAAGGTCGTCTGGTACCGGTGAAAGCACTCGGTAGCAGAGATATTCTCAAAGCGAGACGCATTCAAATATTGCTCGCCCAGAAGTGTGTCCTGTAAGGCTTGAAAGTGGGAACTGTATCCCTGGTTTCCGCCCTCGAGCTTCCACCCTCCCCTCGTGGTGAGGAAAGCTTCGTGTGCAAACACAAAGTCGATGTCGTTCGTTGCTGTTGTCTGGAATATGACCGAGTTGTACCTTTCTTCATTTAGCATGTCTGCTCTACAATTCCAAAGCGGCACTAGGGGAGGCTAGGATTCGTGACGCACTCTGCAATATACATGCCTTTAAATGTCAACAACTGTGCAGTTTCTAAGACAATGTAGACTCTTGCTGTAAAACCTTTTTCGTAGAATGCGACACGAGTTCTAGCCCTCTGTTATGGCGGAATGTACTCACAGAAAATGCAGAGGTATGCTACTTATAGCAAGCGATAGCCAGACAACCTGCCTTCTCTTACTGATATTTGGTAGGTTTCTTAGGCTGAGAACTCCCACATGCAGCCACTTGCCTTTTCCATGGGCTTCGTTAATTTCGTCTCTCGTAGGTGCCCCAAGTTGTTGTAAACAATAACTGGATGCACCCAACAAGGCGCTGCTTAGTACATTAATGAGGAGTTGAAGACCCGTTGTTAAACGCGATGCAAAAGCACATTTTCCTGTGTAGATCGTAGCAATCCCGTCTTGTGGGTTACCGGCTGCAGCAGCCACTATGGCGCATATGGTGTTGAAAAGAAGGACTAGTGATGAGCCGATAATGGCAAAAACGAACCCACCACGCCAGCCGCTGAATCTGGCACGCCGCTTATAGGATAATGAAAGTCTGAAAGTAAGGGAAGATAAGAGAGTATTCGGAGAGTAGTACATCTTAAATTTTGGTACTACCTCATGTTAGGCCATTGCTGAATGGCCGTGGACTATTATGTATCTATTGCTTGACTTGCGCATGCATGCATCGCCTCCAACGCAGCCCTTATGGACCAAATATGGAACAAGCCGAGGGAAGATCGTACATTTGGAAGTAAGCATTTGCTGCATTGAGGATCCAGATTATTGCGCGCGAATCCTTCGTGGGGGCCAGGTTTAGAGCTGCTCATCGAATTAATCTGTACTTGGTGAGGACAGGATTCGTAATTGGTGGCGCAGGACATTGTCTTATCGCAGCACGGGCTCATGACGTCAGACCTGAAGACTCGGGAGTCCTCCACCGAGCCCAATACTTTCAGCGAAAACCATTATTGCTGCATTTCTGGGATGAAGTTGACGTTGCGCAAACCGTACCTCTGGGTTCGGTACAATGAACACTGCCCGATCGCGAATTAACCAGCCAATAGATTGTTTCGCAGGAGCAGCACACGTCAGCTGCTAGGTAAGTTCCGCACGTATCAATGCCGCGAGGCTGCTCACCAGAAGACTTTGCCACATGCAAGGCGCCAGGGGAAACCTTCCGATAGTCGAAGGAAGTTGGCTTGTTGGAAGAGTGTATGAATTCCGTGTCGGCAGGTTTAACCGAATCCATCGGCAATGCAGCCTTCCCTCGCCGTGCAAGTGCGAAGTTTTGATCTCCCATCGCTCCTTCCTGGCACCAACAGCAGCATATGATTGTGGCGTACTTTGGTTGATGAGATGAGATTTCACTGAGATCCATGGTTGCGATACACTGAAGCCAACCTGGGAAGGCTTACATTCGACACGTGATTCCCTTGCCGTTTCTGCCTGCGCGTTCCTCTATGCGAGTACTTATTCGCTGCGCCTTCCGGATTAATTTACGGTGCAGCGTAACGATAACCCCCACCCTCAACCCGCGCAATCACCATGAATCTTCCTCATCTCCTCTCGTCCTCGCTAGCGCCAGTGCAGGAGACTCTCATTTCGTACCTCGGCCCGAAGGAGTTCTCGACATTGATTGAAGTATCGACAGGCGTTCGTACTGCGCTCATCAGCGGGCTTCCTTCATGCTACCAGAACATTGAGACAAAACTCAAAACCTTCTTCCAGGATCCCAAGGCGTTCAGACAAGTTCAAGCCAACACCGGCGCAATCATTGGCGGTGACTTTGCCCGCAAGTTCATTGCTAACGAGCTGCAAACCCCCGTGCAAGAACTATACATCTATACACAGTACTCAGAGGTTAAGCCCTTGGACCTCCGTGCCCCGATATTCGACTTCCTGGAGCAAGAACGGTGGATCGCTGATGAGTACAACATGACGGGCTTGACCATATTCCGAAAGCCGCAGGCCGAGTATGATGGGTTGACCGTCTGTGTCTTTGATTCGAGGGATTCTCCTCTATGCAAATTGCTCCACGCGGCTTCATCTACCGCGACATTAAACTTTATCACTTGGAACAGGGCATACTCTTTGTTCCCGCAGACTACCTTTATCGACAAGCAGTGTTACGTATTGCAGAACCTGCCTGCGGATAAGACCGCGGGTATGGTAAAGCGACATGGTGATTACCTTCGGGGTCTGACATGCGACGGTATCCAGACTCGATTTCTGCATTGGGAAGATAAGTATACGAACCTTGTTACTCGCCCCCGCCGCGTCGGCGATAAGTATACGTATACGATTGGACTTGACCCTACAGGTATCGATTGCAGCACATTAGCGATACCGCAGACTGTCGTGGAGTTATCTACCTTTAAAATCAAGCTCTGGCATTGGAGAAACAGCAATGGTGGACGTGGGCCGATCACAAGTTACGTTATGAGTGCAATTGGCGTGGATAGCGCTGTCCTCAAACAGTCCTATGTAGTCCTGCATGAAGACGAAAAAGATCAATGGGAGCCCGACCAGCCGGCACCATCTAGGCTCTTTAAGAAGACGATCCATCTTGTATGCCAGATCAGTGGCTTGACGATATTGGAGCTTGCAAAACTGCCAGAGAGCGACCGCCCTATCGAATACAACAACGTTATTAACGGGAGGTCTCGCGAGGCGTTCGGGTGGAAAAGCACCAAGGTACCAGAGACGTGGTCATACTACGACGACGACTTTATGAAGCAGCTGGGGAAGCTGTGGAGGGAGCACGAACGCGACGAGATGGAGAAGGGCGATGATCGGACTAGCCAGTAATGAGAGCGACTGGAGGCGAAGCCGGAGCAAGTCGGCGTTTCGTCGGACGAGAGCGAGGATGAAGCGGCTTGATGAAGAGCGGTTAGTCGCGCGTGTGGATGAGGTATGTTTACAATAAAATGGCGTCAGTGCGAGTTAAAGAACTCGTAGACAACTTGTGGTATAATGTCAGTCATCCAGCTGAATTAGCGTCATAGATAGCGGTGGCCAGCGTGAGGCGGAAGGACAATTGGCGTTCTGAACCCAAGCCTTCCATATCTGTTTGTATGATCGTTCGCAGTTGCCTGAAGGTTGCAGACTTCGACTTGATGATGAGTTGCCGTGCTGATGATCGTGCGTACTGGCCGATGCGGGGTTCTTTGTGACAAAGCGCGTGGATGAACCTGAAATCGGAGGTTGTCGTATGATCATCCCAACTATGCGCAACCATACGGGGTGTAGATGGGATGAATTGGATGGCGACGCGGTGACGCGATGTGAGGTGCTGAACTGAGGAGTCGCTTCCGTGAAGAGGAGAATGGTGTCAGCCAAGCCGCTAACGTCCGAATGCGGCTGTGACGCGTTCAGTCGCGCCGTCGACGCGTCGGAACTTCATCAGCAACACCCGCCGCTCTCTACCACCAATGCATTCGCGCTCCGCCCTCCGCCGTGATGGATCTCATTGCCAAGGCGCTCTTGGTACCTCAGGATGCTTATTGCGCTTCACGATTGCTGTTTTGGGAGTTCCCAATTCACTGTCAACGAACTACTGATCGACAGCAACCAATGAAGGACCCATTCACGATGCCGCCTTTTGTGAAACTTGCGCATCAGTGCTATCACGGTTCCAATTGGTGACAGAAGCTCTTGCAGAACAATTGAGCTATTCTTTTACATACTTTACGACAGTATTTAATTCTGCCTTTGGAAAGTCCACATCTATCGTCTGAACATTCTCCAGCCGACGTCGGTATCAGTGTTGTACTTGCATTCATCATAGTCTCACAGCGTACAAGACTTTCCCCCATGGATTCTCTCGGCGGCAAGCAAACATGGTCGAACACAGCCCTCGAATTAACTGTGCTATCGCGATGCTCAAGTAGCAAACTCGCGAAGATGATGAGATTCACTAAGCGGAAGCGCCTCGACAGATTAAAAATATGTGTGAGATTTTCCTTTCCACCCATCACCAGCTTACAACCTTCCAAGCTCTTAACCAGTCACTCTTTTCAACTCGACCGATCGGAATCCGGGTGATACTCGCAACCTCTCTCGACACATCGACCCTGTCCACCGAAGGCATTATGTCTCAAGGCCACTACCAGGACAATAACAGTTCTTCTGACTTCCTCGACGACATCCTCAACATGAGCCCTCAAGACCTGCAACTCCTCTATGAAGCTCAATTCCAGACAACTATGGATAACGAGGGCGCAATGCTGTCTGCCAGTGGCGACCCTGTGTACTTCGCTCAACCTGGCATCCAAGACTATGGTGTAGGGAACTACCAGCCGGATCATATTCCTCTATATGCACCTGACGATGGTCAGCATCAACACGGCTTCGATGGATACAGCCAACCGACACTTGATCAGCCTTCATCCCAACATTATGCAGGTACCCCACCTCCTCGTTATTCATCCATAGAGCCTGCCAGTGCCACAAATGAGCCAACACACACGGTGGACGTACACTCGCCATTAGACCCTTTTTACCAACACATTACACCCAGCCAATCGGCACCCTCTCAAGCTGCTGCAATAGCTCCAGTTCAACCCAGGTTCTTTGGACTGTCATTTCGGAATCTGGCAGAAGCGAAGGATAGCATGCTTAACCGCTATATCGAAAAGGACTGGATGCCGCCTCCCAATGACAGCACTATTCCGACTACTGACGAAGACCGAGCTGGACACGTCGCTGAGCTACTAGCAGCAATGAAAGACACTTCTGCCTGTCCGGACAACCAAGACAAGGACCGATTTGCGAAACGATTGACTCCAGGTGCCAAAAAGGCGATTTATGAAGACCAGATGGAGAAGGTGTGCTGGCAGCTAGTTGACACCGCTGAGAAACTACATGCCTTCGGCCCGAAATCATTCTCCATCTACGACACAACGCCACTGGAGACGATGTGGGACTGCCGCAACTTTACCTTTGGTGAGCGTATAGAAAGTCTCTGTGAGCTCTTGCGGCTTTCCAAGAGCCGGTGCTTCTCGCTGCTCAAGGGTGAGAATCTTGAAACTACTGTGGGTGCGGCTCCCCAGAAGATTACGGGTACAATCCTGAACAATGGACAGAATAAAAACCGCCAGAAGTATATCGCGGAAGGTCGAACGAGGGTGAAGGAGAAAACGGCTACGACGTCACCTGAAGATCAAGCCTCTGTCACGGACGGTAATGAGGAACTCGATTCCAGTGTCGCAATGACTCTGCCTTCGAACGACCTTGAGGAAGAGTTGGATTTAGATGTCGCGACGAGCCTGCAATCATCAGAGCCTCTGCCACCTGCCAACGTCGGAACGAGTATCATCGGCGACGTCCAATCGAACAATACCCAGACTGTCTCTCAGTACGCGGGCGACAATGGCGGGCAGTACGAGAACAACCAGCATGTCACTGGGAACTCTTATTATTATGGCCCTCAACCTGTCCTCCCTCACTCCGTGTCATCGCCCGGGATGCTTCCATCAGGCATGCTTTCGTCGAACAAGCTTTCACCGAACATGCTTTCGCCATCCGCCTCGTACGCCCCGACTACAACGCCATCGATGCACGGAATCTATTCCCCGAGCACGCAGCCATCACCGGTGACACCTTGGACGCCGTCGCCGTCTTATATGCCGCACATGACCGAAGGCTATCCGCACACTCCATACCAACACCCATTTGCCATTCCTAGACCCAACCGAGTGTTGAAACGTGGTGCCGAAGATGCGCAGCTCGAGGCATATTTAGATTGGCCGAATCAGCGTCCATGCTTTGAAACTCGTGAGAACCCACGCTACTAGAAATGGAACAGATTTTAAAAGAGAGTGAAGGCGTTGAGAGCCTTTGAAGAATGCTTCAGTTTGTAGGACTGTTAGTAGCTGCTGTATGTGCAGCTCATCGTACCAGTGTCATGTTACAGTAGACTTTAGTATTAGATAGGAACACGAACAAGTTATAGTACATAGCCTCCGTTCTGTGACAGCATCGAGTAGAAGTGACTCTTGTTCCGTCGAGTTCATAGATCAGACTGGAGCGGGAGCCGCAGAAACTTCAGACTATTCAGACGCTTCAGGTTTTGGGGGAGCTGTTGGACCTTCCCGAGCGCTTCTCTCGACCCATTCTACTAAAAGCTTCGGAATTCCGGAGGAGCCTTGCTTCAGTAGTGCCTTTGCATTATGCTGAGGAAGGAGTCTCTTGCCACTCTTCAGGAATTCGGTAGTCAGAACTCTGGGTTCTTCCGTGTCGACGGGTGGTCGTTTCGTGATGAACGCCCACCAGACTATGCAACACGTCAGTCTGGCGAATTGAGATGGCGAAATGGATCATCGTACGCCCTTTCTGAACATACGAGTTCTTCCACCTCATCTCATGTGCTGGAAAAGACTCTTCGCGAGGTTTACCAATAGCAGGATGGCCTAGATGCGGGTGCGATCAGCCAAAAGCTCCCTCACATGAAGTTGGTACAGAGAACCTCACGCCACCCATAAATAGCAGTCGTCTTCGCTACCGGATCGATCCAATCCATCGAAGGGTCTCCATGAACACACTTGCTGTATTGGTATGTCCATTCTTCCTCTCCGTCTTGTTTTTCTACATGCCAACCAAGAGTGTCGCGGAAAAGGTTTGCCGTCTGCTCATTGCTGGTATAACCGATGAGCTGCTCTCCCTCCATCATGACATAGGTCACCTTCCATAGATATTGCTCAAGACCGACCTCAGGGTGATATATGGCTTGATTCCGAGCCAACACGTCCGAGTTGGCAATCATCAGCTTAGAGAAGGCGTACTTTTGTTGTCCCTCTCGTGTCGACAGGTCATAGGAGGTTGACATTTTGACTGGGTCACCTCTCTTGCAGCGCTATCGAGAAGAGAGACATCTAAGGATCGCCGAGCCAACTTTATACTCCAAAGAGTATAAGCAATCACATAACATGATTGGATTGCCTCTGTTTGTCGTGAGTCGTACTGTCCGGCAAACGCCTACGAGGTGAATGATCTGTCTTCATTGAGAGAGGGTCGACGTCGAGATAGTCGTCGCAGGGCCTGGGGTACTAGGATGGGTGAGGAGCGCGTCCAGGAGAAGGCGCATGTATGATACCGAAAGTGGCATACTCAACGCCATGAGTCACCCATCCATCTCGTTATTATCCTCACTCTTCTTTCCCCACATCCCCTCTCGCCCACTCAGGTCCCTGCCCTTCTTCCTGGTCTTTCGCCAACTTTTTCTCGAGCTCCAGCCTAGCTTTCTCGCCAAACTTCTTTTCCCACTCCTTATCTCTCTCTTTCTGGGGCGCCGCGAACTGCGTACTCAGACCACCTCGACTCTTGACTTGCATCTTCTTCTCCGCAGCCTCATTCTGCTTCAACTGCTCTTCGGCGCTCTGTATCCTGCGCTTGAGACTGATCTCGAACATGTCTCTTCCCTTGTGCCTCCCCTTAAGCCCGTTGTCGTCCTTGTCGAAGTAGACGGCCCAGCGCAGCCCTTCCTTGCCCCACGGGGTGTCCGGGTCTTCGTCGGCGCCGTCCCATTCGTCGATGGCCATGAAGCCCTCCCAGCCTTCGAATGTGAGGTGCGTCTCGTCTTCGGTCCAGTCCCAGACGCCGACATGATGTATGATGCTGCCGGTGCGATTCGAGTAGCGTAGCTCGTACGTCTTCTTGTCGCAGTAGACCCAGTTCAGCATCGGCGGGTCGTCGCTGATCGTGGTAACCAATCCCCTCTCCGGCGGACTCCTGTCTTCATCTGGGTATGCAATGTAAAAGCCTGCAAATGCATGCAGAGGCTCCTTCCCTTCCCCATCTATCCCGTCCGGCCACATGGGCTTGTTGTCCGCGTCCCTGGGCACGACCCAGACTTTATCGCGGCGCACGACGAGGATGCCATTGTCGATTTCTTCTTTCGCGATCGGATCGGGGTCGTCGCAGGCTACGAGGCAGTTGAACTTCCACATGCGCGACTCGTTGGCGGCTTCTTCGTTCTGCTTCTTTTGGTGCTCGACACCTTGCGCGACGCCGGTTACGACGGGGATGGCGACGACGCAGCCGCCGAGGAAGATGCTTAGGGGAAGCGCCATTTCGGACTATGCGATTGAGGGGTAAGGAATCGGGTTTAGGGCGGTGACATCGTGGGAGGTCGGAAGGCTGCTGTCTGGTGTGCTTCAGTCGACGGTGGGATGCGAAATCGCGTTGCGTCATGATCGACAGGGAGCCTTCCCCGATAGAGACTAGTAATCTACCCGTCGCTGCCACGGTGCATCCAGACTCACGGAACGACATCTTCTTGGCTTCATGTAACCTCCACGGTCAGCGCCAAATTGTTTCTTTCGTTTCCAGTCCAAACCGCATTTTTGGTGTTTGTTCAGTGTACGCGCGCTCCACGAGACCGCGATGACTAACCCCAGCTTGCGGTTGGCTCAAAGCGCAGACAATACAACACATGCTAGTTGCTTGCTGACAGAGGGAGATTCATGATGTTAACTATGGTACGATTTATTATTGCGACATGGTCATTCGCTAGAGTAGTAAACGGCATAATTCTGGTTGGTCGGCTGGACCTGCTCTCATCCAGCCGACCAGAGTTCGGAATGGATAGTCGCCTAGAGTCAGAGGTACCTATCGTACCATGGAGGAAACTGTAGATTCTGGTAGGTTTGCTACCCATATATAATATACTCTTATGTTCTCATTCAAAGTCCATCTTTTCATCGCATCCCATCAACATCTTCTCCAACAAAATGTTTCGTCTCCTTCTAGCAACCGCCGCCGACACAATGTGCATGCATCCAGACCACCTGGGCGAAGATTGCAATACGCAATACATACCGTCATCGTATCTGGCCCTGAAACATCGCAAAGCATCCAGCAAGCCTGTTAGAACTGGCCGTCCACTCCGGTCGAGTGTCCCAAGAACTTTCTACCGAGCGAGAAGCCCATCGCCATGCCCATTCACCTACCAGCCACCAGCGCGAGACTTGGAGCAATTTCCGGCATATGAAGAAAATGACGGCGACTGGGAAGACTGGAAGCGGAATAATGGAAAGGTTACAGTAAATGACCATGACATCGGCCACTGCATTCGACACTGCGAACATCGCATATGCCGCTCCATTACCGACAAAGACAGGAAGCGCAATATCGAGCCCAAAGCATGCAGATGTTGCAGGCGACTTCCTATTCTCGAAGATACCACTTTCAGGCAGGAAAGGATATCGCGTCTTCGACTCCAGGATATCCTGGCCGCCCAAAGAGCATATGAGAACACTGACTATGGCGAGGCAATCACCATAGACCTAAAATCCGCCACCGCCCTAGTCAGAAAGATGCGAAGCATGGGATATCTTGATGTTACAAAATATATCCGCGGATCCAAACACTTCACGAAGAGCACCACACTGTACCCCTCGCAATACCTCGCCGCTACCCGCGCAGCCAACATCATCATCTCCAAACTCCTCAACTACCTATCAATCACGCTATCGCCCCTCGAGAACCAAACCCGCACCCTCACCATCGCAGATCTGGTGAAAGAGATGACGGAAGTCATGCGCCTGGACATCTTCTGGTGGGTATCTGAATGGTGTTTCCGCAACCAGGTGGAAAGAAGGGATAATGCTGCGGAGAGAGCATGGAAGTTGAAAGGGTGCTTTGGCTTAGCGAGAAGAACTTGGATTAAGGGGACGATGAGTAGGGGAGTTGAGCTGTTGTTTGAGAGGATGGAGGGGATTGTGGAGATGGTTGTTGCGGTGTTGTCGTGGTGGGATAAGGAGATAAGAACGGAGAGGATGAAGAAGACCTGGTGGGAGTTTGAGAGCTGTGGGAGTGAGGAAAGCAGCGAGAGCGGAGAGAGCAGCGACAGCGAGGAGAGCTGCGATTTTACCTGGGATTAGTGTACTTGATGTCTCGTACGCCTGATCAGTATCATCGCAAGCAATCAAAGAGTGAAAGCTTCCGTGTGCATCCACTACCATCAATCCATGCTTGAGCAAACCCGAACACAGCGCTTAATGTACACTTCATATGCGCACAACGTCCCTCTTCAGACAACCAAAACCATCTCAACCAAAACCATTGTATTTCACTCCCTCCCCCGAGCAAACACCAATCAAGCACCCTTTCATCCGCAAACATGAAGTTCACAGAAACGGACTTCCTGTCCACATCCCCACCTCCACCCCTACCTCCACGCTCATCCCTCCGCATCAAAATCCCGTCCTACAGCCTCCGCCTCCCCGTCGCACCTCCATCCCCGCTCTTCGACGGTATAAACGAAGACACAAACACCCACCGCTTCCCCGCCTTCCAAGACGTCCTCAACATACGCAAGAGCGTGCCGCCACCTGAACCACACTGTACACTCCATTGCAACCACGGAGTTTGTGTGAAGCAGATGATAGAAGGGTTTGGTAACCCGCTGTGTCAATGCGTTTTAGAGGAGGAGGAGGAGGAGTGGAGTGTGGAGTGGTACCGGCCTGCTATGGAGCTTGAAGAACTGGATTTGATGTCTATTGCTCAGAATACGGAGAAGTTTAGTCCGGCGCAGGAGATTGACATACATATCGAGGACGCGATGAGGGTAGTCGCGTATCTTCAACCGCGCGCTTTGGCTCGTGCGATGGACGACGGGTTTCTGAGGCGCGCTATGCTGGCTGATTTCGGGCAGGATGAAGAGGTCACGACGCGCGATGCGGTTCA